TATATAATGGAATAATTAGAGTGCATCAAGTAAACAAGTGAACACTTATCTTTTTCTTTTGACTTTCATTAGATAATACAAGGTCCATAGAGGAATCAGCTACTGTAAAATCAAATTTCTTGGGTCTTTATCTAAAGTACTTGTGGTGTAAAAGAACTTCAGGAACTTTTGCAGGAATGAAGTATGAAATGCACATGGCCAACTTCACTGTTCAGTGCGCCCCTGAAATAGGCATATGGAAAGGCTTGGGCTCTGATCCAAACCCCATGTCAGTAGGGTTGTCCAGATTTTTAGAGACCTTGCGTAGGCCTTCGGAGATTTAAATGTATGATCTGTTTCTTCAGTGTAGGGTGAAGTTGTGAAGAGCTCACTAAGTTTTCCACCTAGTTTCCTTACACATAAGATTTTCCCAGAGGTGGGGGGCAACATATAAACAACCCTCCACCCCATACAATGCTGTAACTTTCTCAGATTTGGGATTCATTTGTAGCAACACTGTTTTGCTAAATACTTCCATAGGCTAGCTATCATAGATTGCAATGTGGAGTTGTATGCACGCACCTCACTTTGCAGCTTAAAGGGAGAAAAAAGGTGATGCAGTAGTTTCCTATGCTGAGCACTTAGGAACTGAGAAGTGGTAGTAGCAAGAGCAGTGAAGTGTTCTCAAACAGTCAATGCTGCCTGGATAATGAAACCATCTATCTGGGCAGGAAGCCTGTATGACCACATATAGGTTCAGCTTGTTAGCCATCATGTTTTCCCATGCTTGGGAGAAAGTGAGTAATTTGATACCTGGACCGCAGATTTGGAAAGTTTTGTTTCTGAAGTCTTCGGCTTTGGTAGGAATGTAGCTGCTATTACTGAAGCATCATTGCCTCTCTCTGCAGAATCTCTCAAACTAAATGCTGTATATTTTCCTTTGCAAAAAGAAGGTGCTGTTTTGCATGACTACACTAAAACCAGCAAGCCATTTCTTCTGCCAAAAAATGTTTAACTATGCATGTTATAGGAACAAAGGGAGGAAACAATCAAAGACGTAGAGGCTGTAGTCCTTATTCTCCAGTGACTCCTGGTATGACATGGAAAGAGTCACTCCACTTCTCTGTGTCTCAATTTCCCATCTGTAAAATGGGGTTAAAAAACCTACCTCACAGGGGTGTTGTGAGGCTTTTAAAATTAATGTTTGTAAAGTGCTTTGAGATCCTCGGATGAAAAGTGCAATAAGAAATCAGATTATTCACTTTTTTGTCGTGCAATATGAGTGCACTTCTGTTGAGATGGCTAAAGGCTTCCAGCTCTTTATAGCTATTCCACATACTCTTCACTATAATTTTGCTCCTATCATTTATTATATCTGCTGGGAGTGAAAAAGACCACATTTTGCAATTAAGAATACCGAAATTATTGTAGTGTTGTGTAGATGAGAGCTAAACCAATCCTATATTATTTTTAAATTGTGTTGCATTTTCCTTGTCCATACAACCCTAAAGCTAACAGGAAAAGGATAGATGATCATTTTGTCTGCTCTTCACCTAAACTGGCTAACTTACATCTTTTTGAGACAAATGCAGCATCTTCACTGAATAAAAAAACTTTAATGTGGGTCAATGGTTACAAAACGTAGGTAGGGTGTAGAGAAGGTGGTTTAGTCCATTATGCTTTGCAGTCATTTAACAAACAGCCATTAAACAGCACAGCGTAAAGGTTAGCAAGTGAAAGGTTAAATCTTGGGAACTGTAGAAACGTGAAATGAAAGCAAGATTAGATTTTACAGAGCTGAATCAAAAAAAAGGCGCATAGGTTCATGTAGAGCTTCTGGGCTTTCCATGCTTTCCAGAAGGCCTTAACTAATACAGAAACTAATTCAGTACTTAAAATTTCAGTTTAATATAGAGGTGATACAGATGCTTCACTAGAGCATGCTAGGCATCCAACAGACTGTTATTGAGGAGATGACATAATGTACATAAATATCCTTGTCATTAAAACTAACTGCTGCATGGAGATAAGAAACATGAGCAAAATAGTTGTTAAAGTAAGTAGATGCCAAAAAGCCAAAAATTAAAAATGGAGGAATGAAACTTGATTAAAATATTTTGTTTTCCTGCCTCTCTCATCTAGGATTCAAGCTTTACACTTTCTTCTCCTCCACCACCTTTTTTTCTTGTTCTTTTTAGGATTGAATGGGCAGGAGAACTGAAAAGGATATAACCAAACAAACCGAATAAAAAATGCTATAGTTACAGCTTTCACCCAGCTTCACCTACTCAAAAGGAATATGCATGTCTTCACTCATACAGTACGTGATTCATATTTCAACTTTTTGCTGCGGTGGAGGCAAAGTATAACATATTCCTCCCATTGGTGATCATATACACAACTCTTACTCATGTAAAACCGAACAGAAAACCCCTTTTTAAAAATACAAACCCTGAAACTTCTTACATTTCAAAAGTTGGTCTAGAATAGTCACTGCAAAGCTGAATAGTTCTCTGGATGGCTTGAGAAAATATGTCTTTTTTGTACTCTTTATTTCAGCATCCTGTTAGACCTAGATTTGGACTGATTTCACCAGTGTTTATATCATCCTAAACTTGAAGGCACTGGCAATTTTGGAGCTATAGCTCACTGCTTCTTTCACTACTTTGATGTTACTTCTGTTGCATCTGACTGCCCGTGAGACGTGGTTACAAGCAGCACCCCACAAAAGCAGCAGTTTCTACTGAACAGTCTTCTTAGCATCAGCTTTTATCCTTAATATTTAAATCAGTGTGGGATCTGTTTGTACATTTCACTTCAGAAAATTATTATTAGTGTATTTAAACATTTGCTTTTCAAATACTACAAACTAATTATCCACTAATCCTTACCTACCTACTTCTGTACAGTCATTCAAGATGGAAATTTTTAAAATAGGAAGTCTAAGTGGCATCCCTTATTTTTACACTGAGAATCTGATACTTATATACTTAATTTTTGAGGAACTGAAATGTAAATATGAATTATGATTATCTTGAGAACAACAGCAATTAAAATAAAACCACCTTTGATGATAAATAGGTAACCCACTATTGACTTGGAATATCTTCTCATGTAAGAATACCATACATCCTTTCCTATTTATTATCATCCCACTGTATTCAAGTAGATAATATATATTATAGAATAATTTCTCTTTAGAGATTTTTTTTCCCTAGACATAGCCTAGTCATCCACCAGTTCTGCTGCTTAACTACAGCCTACTATCATCCCAGGATCCCTAACCACTGTGTAGAAGGAATACTATCTTGTGGCTGAAATATTAATTATTGTGCTGTTGAGCTTTGTATTTAAAACTCTGATTTATTATCTTGTCCACTGACATAAAGATTAGTTTTACAAAAATGATTTCCTATCATCAAAATGTTAGTCTACAAGACACCTACTATCTGAAATTTCCTACTTCGGTTTGTTTAACCCAAAACACAAAAGTCACACTTTAGAAAATGCTTCGTGTGTAGGTGTACCGGTGTTGAAAGTACATCTGAGCTGAAAAGATGCTATCAGAAGCTGATGGACTAGCTCTTGAGCAGGTGTTAATTGTCCCAGCTCTACTGGTTTCTTTCAATTTGCACCATCTGAAAAACTGGCCTAGCACGTCAATACCATGACAGAGTTAGGAACTTTCTTTTCCAGTTGTGATGCAAAACATTTAAATATTACTTGAGTAGCTGATGATCGAAATATAATTTATGAGACGTTCATTAGTAAATAATGATGAATGTGTATGTGTTTTAGGAATGGGTCTACAATGACATAAGTTCTGAGTGAACTTGAGATATCAGAAAATGCTCTCTGGATGATATTCATCTGACCAAATATGGATATCTTTAAGGCAGGCATCTAATCTGAGTCCCTTTGTTGTCAATTAGGAGAAACGGGCACTTCTAGCAGTTATTAGTTTTATTCCCAAGAACATATCTTAACCACATCAGGTGGACTGTATCATTAAAGTGTCTGCTTCTCTTACGGACTGAGGATGGGAAGACTGAATAACTTTCTCAGATAGAGATGCCTGCCTTGCTCATGTCTAAAGTTAGGTGAGATGAATCTCACACTCAGGGACTCACATTGGCTCCATCTTACTAAGTTGTCCCTCGATTATTCAACAGTTACTAAAACAAAGCTAAGTAAAATGTGGTAATTCTGCACCATTATCTTACAGTACACAGGACAGTACATAACAGCCCTATCATACATATATGACCATAGAATCTGGGCTAGCATATTTACTTCAAATTATATTGTGCATATGATTGCTTCTATCTTTCTTTCATCTAACAACTCTCTTAAAATTCTTACCTCTCCACAGTTTGCATAGTTAAACTGAGAGATTTTGATTCCTACTGATGGATCCACTAAGTAAAATGCCATTTTGATCTTCACGTACAGTTATTGGTTGTCTAGTGTTAATGGTGTGTATGGTGTTAAAAAATTGACAATTTCATACTTGGTGTATACTCCTTCTCTTTTGGTGAATGGCGTTCATCAGTAAGAGATTAAATACAGTAGTGGTCACTCCTTTGCCATCTGCCATCTTTACAGGAGGCAGAGGAGTGAGAAAAGTTGGAAACCTAGGAAATGATGTCATATTAGTAATAAGATTGTAATAAACCCCATAAAACTGTAAATATAGAAATGAAAGGAGAAGCATAAGTTTTTATGCCATAATATTTAGCAGTAGTAGTAATTAGCATTTTGATTGCCTTTTTCTTATTGGTCCTGTGAAAGAAACTCATGTGAATAGCAAATAAACAAAAATAGCCTTATGGACTACAGAGAAATTCACGTCACATGGGCCTTAGTGTTATAGAATTGCTGTGTGATTAACAATATGTGACATGCAGTTTGTTTTCTGTCCGTGCGATTGCAACAACAGTTCCAATTGTAGCCACTTTTTTCTTTTCTTTTCCTTTTTCTTTCTTTCTTTGTTTCTTTCTTTGTTTCTGTTTTTTATGCAGAAGACCATCAAATGAATTGTCACAATACTCGAATAATGCAAGACACAGAAAAAGACGATAACAATAATGATGAGTATGATAATTACGATGAACTGGTGGCCAAGTCATTGTTAAATCTTGGCAAAATTGCAGAGGATGCAGCATACAGAGCCAGGACAGAATCAGAAATGAACAGCAATACATCTAATAGTCTGGAAGATGATAGTGACAAAAATGAAAATATTGGTCGGAAAAGTGAGCTGAGTTTAGATTTAGACAGTGATGTTGTTAGGGAAACAGTGGACTCCCTTAAATTATTAGCACAAGGACATGGTGTAGTGCTTTCAGAAAACATTAATGACAGAAATTATGCAGACAATACTTCACAGCAAGATAATAGGAATATGAACTTTGTAATGCTAGGGAAGCCTGTGAACAATGGACTTACGGAAAAAATGGTGGAGGAGAGTGATGAAGAGGTCTGTCTCAGCAGTTTGGAGTGCTTAAGGAACCAGTGTTTTGATCTGGCTAGGAAACTCAGTGAGACAAACCCGCAGGAAAGAAACCAACAGCAAAACATGAACACTCGTCAGCATGTCAGGCAAGAAGATGACTTCCAAGGAAGAACACCAGACCGGAATTACTCTGATATGATGAACCTAATGAGGCTTGAAGAACAGTTGAGCCCCAGATCTAGGACTTTTTCTAGCTGTGCAAAGGAGGATGGTTGTCACGAAAGAGACGATGATACCACCTCTATTACTTCAGATAGGTCTGAAGAAGTGTTTGATATGACAAAAGGTAACTTAACCCTGCTTGAGAAAGCAATTGCTTTGGAAACTGAGAGAGCAAAAGCCATGAGAGAAAAAATGGCAGTGGAAGCTGGAAGGAGGGATAATATGAGATCATTTGAGGAACAGTCTCCAAGACACCTTTCTGGAGATGACAGGAAGCCTAAACCCAGTGACGGCCATGTCAAAAAGCCATATTATGGTAAAGGTAATATTTCTATATACCGTATGTTATGTCATGAGAAAGTGTGAGCTAACGTGTTAAGTTTTGCTAGAATTCTGAAATGAAGTTATTAATTCCACAAAATGGGAACTTTATTTTAATAGTAGTGGTATGGCATGATTGTAAAATAGCAACATGCTGTGTTTATAAATTTTTTTAAAAGTCTTTCTGCAGTGTTAGAAATATGTACAGTATTTCAGTGAATATCATTGGCAAGATTAAAAAAACAACTTTTCAGGGAAACCAAACAAATAAGAGATCATGTTGAAAGAGGCAAAGATTTTTCTCAAGTTTTTGAATATATCTTATAGTAATAATTAAAAAACAATGAAGACAATTATGTTGCAAACTATATTGGAGATTGGGGTTTTGCGTAGCAGGTAGTCAATCAGCTATGAAGTGCATATTTTACAGATTGGATTGGGTAGGTGGCATTGTGATTTATAAAATTATCATCAAATGACAGTTATTGATGAAGCCTCTCCCATCTAAAATGTAGAATTGCCTGATAGAAATTGAACAGTATCAGAATGACCGATAACATAAGATAGGGGCAGTGACTGCACATTAATTATCTTAAGATAGTAAGGTAATGGAAACCATTTGCTATGCAAGGCATGGTGTGGCCTGGGCTGAGATCAATAGCAATTTCTTTCTTATGTGCATTCCACTTCACTGGTTTCATTCCATTGTGGAAACAGTTAAGGTGCTGCCTTGATCATAATTCAATACAAAAGAAAAGAGAAAAAAAAAAAGGAACAGACTAAAGGTTACCTTTAGAATGCCTTTTAATTTACGGGATTATCATGGTGATGGTGTGTTTATATTACCACACCCCGCTTCAACAAGTCTACATCTGTACATGTAGGGCTGTGTTGCGTAAAGTGTTCAATACCTCCTGAGACTCATTGAACACCCCTGATTCCCATTGACTTTAGTGGAAGTTGAGGATGTGGTATTTCTTGGGAGATGCTAAGCAGGGACTGGGTTCATCTTATATTTGTTGTAAAAATATTCGTTTTCTTTCTACAACTGAGATGGTGGGCATTTTTCTTCTTTTTATAAATCCCTGTTTTGACAGAGTAATACCTTAAGATCTGCCTGTGACATTCAGGTAGCCAGACAACATCTTGGTCCAAGGAAGGTTTTGATCTATTTTAGTAGCCTTAAAAAAAAAAATGTAACAATCAGTCTTTTAGAGAAGCATGGAAAGTACTGATGTCAAACACTCTTCTGCAATGTATTTTAGTGAAGTTTTGTTCGTTTTAAACACAAATTTGTGGTCCATCGAGTGCTGTAGTAACTTTGGGAATTTGGGGAAGACAACTTTATTTAGTTAGTTTATTACTGCATAGCCATGTGGATGTTGTGCTAAATGTTGTTTGCATATGACCTATTGTAGGTACATTTCCCTTTGAATATATGTCACTAATAAAACCACAGAAAACATGGCAAACCAATATTACTTTTCAAAGAGCTTTTTAACTCTGGTATTGTCTAACCCTTCCAGTCTGTGTATGCCTGGGAAATTATTTATGCACATAGATCTGCTGTCTCCAAAAAGACTGTCTAATTTCTGACAGTAACAAGAGTATGGACTTCCTATTTCAGTAAATTCTAGAGCTTCTTTGAACCATCCTATCTCTTGGGAGCTTCAGAATGAATTGATAATAGGTCCAAAACCCAGGCAGGGACTAAATATTGTGGTAGTTTGGACCAAGAAGCTTTGTGGAATAGATGGTTCTATGTTTTTTTTAATAAAGGAAGAAAGAAAAACATTCTTTCCTTACTTTAAAAACATAGGAAACATTGCAGTAGTTGTTGAGAGAGGAAGCTTTAAGAAGACAATTGCTTGTATCATTTGTTCTCCACTCATACATTATCTTCCAAACACTCCTGCAAGAGATACCCGGAGAAATGTATGATACGATTAAGTGGAAACTTTTTGGGTACCCCAAAATGCAGTGAGAACTACCTCCTGGCTTAAGGAGTCCCACTTTCAGAGATCATTGAAACAACTGTTAAGGGACCACTAACAATTTTTCCCTTGCCATTTAAAGCCTTCTAAACAGGCTTGCTTCTGAAATTTATGAAGTTTAAAAACTTTCAACTCCTCTGACAACCTTCACTGAGGCAATACCCCCATTGTGGCAAGGAGTGAGGAAGGGTTACAAAATTAAATGAAAATATACAATATTTCTCTCAGTTAGTAGAAGGGGATTTGCAAAAGAGTATCTGGTGTTTTGTATGAAGTTGTGGAAAGTTTAGTCAAATGTCTTCCATTAAAAGCAATGGGAAATTGTGCAAGTACAATTTTATGCAAGTTACGAAATCATTAAGAATAGTATACAGCATCTTTTCTGACTCATTAGACCATAAAGGCTCTTAAGGATCTGATACATGCTATAACTTTATAGCATAGAGCTGAATACAGAGGAGGACGCTTGACGCTGTAGGATTCAAGTGTCCAGATCCTCAGTTGCTCTAAATTAGAACGCCTTCCTTGACTTTGGTGGAGTTCTGACAATGTGGAGTAGCTAAAGTTCCTCCAGTTTAAAGTCTCTAAAAAGCCATTATGGTCTATTAATCATCTACATTTTTTGCAGTCCTTGATTATTGTTATATTTACATAATTTGTATTTCATTTACATTACTTACTCACTTATGTAATACTTTTACACATCCCAAAGTACTTGACATGAAGAGTTGCTTAGAGTTGTGTATGTATGTAGCTGTGGGCTTGCTGTTCTAGTGGTCTCAGCACAGGCCTATCTGGTAGGAATTCAAATCCCTCCTCTGACATTTGCTCCTTCTGTGGCCTTGGGTTTAACTTCTTGATCTCTTTGTTTCAATTTCCTGATGTGCAAGATGACGATATTTCCAGGAGTGTTGTGATAACTGTATAGCACTTTGGAGGTAGATTTGTATGTGTATTTATTGTTAAAGAGCATGAAAGAAAGACCTGTATTCTATAGTCAACATGCAGGTTAAGTAAAAGAAAACCTTCATAATTAGGGATTCCGTTTTCAAAGGAAAAGGCTTAAATGTCATATTAAAATTTAAGAATTTCAGACATGGACAGTCATTACAAGGGGCTAAGGAATTTCCCTGAAGTGAAGGTGTTTTGGAAGAACTTGGAATGTAAAAGTGTATATATATATAAGCTACCAGAGGGAAATCAAGGAAAAAAACCAGTCTACAGCTGCATGTGAACTCCAGACTGTATTGATTCATGCTGAAAAAAATGGGTTTTATGTGAAGTTCTGCAAGTACTGAAATTTCCACTGATTTTACTGAGGGTTGCATTTGTTGAAGCTGGGATGGAATTTAATGTAAGAGAGACTTAATGGAAAGCAAGTAGCAAAATCTTATTTTCCAGAGAGAGAAGCATAAATACTGAAGCAAAGTGATAACAAGAGCAGCATAAAATGCTTAAATGAAGATAGCTCAGATTGGGTATTTAAAGGAGGATGGACTAAAAAAAAGGAAGGGGGATGCTGGTTGTTCTTGAGCCAAAGTGATAGCAGTTATAATATCCTGAATTTTATTCACTTAATACTAATATGAAAATTAGCACTGACCTCCAAAATCTGGCAACTGTGCGTAAGTTGTTATGATGTAATTTGTATCATGTGCTTGCCCGGAAGGTAGGGATGTTATGTTACAAATGTTCTGTTAAAGGAAACAAGCTGATGAAGTATTTGAGGAAGTTCTAGTTCAGAATTAATCTCATCAGCAGTTCCACTACATTATTGGCAGAAAACTTCATTTTGTTGAAAAAATGCCTATTTAGACTTTTCATTGATTTGTAGACAGAAGATCCAACAACATTCTAAAAGATCATTAACCTTCTAAGCATATGAATATTCAAGCATTATATATTCATGTTTGTAATGGCCCAGATTTACACAGCCAGTGATACTTTCAGTAATTCTGATTACAGTGTTTACCCCACCATAATTTATTGAAGATAAAAGAATATTTACATAATTTCTACCACTTCATAAAGAAATTTAAAGAAAACAAGAGTCATCTTCTCCATGAGCCTTGGAAAAGGGATTTATTTGTGCTGAGTCATTGAATCATTATGCTAAAGAGCTGGGTTTGCTGCTCTCAGGACATTGAACTTCTATGACAGTACATTTGCAGACCTTAATACATCAGGCAAATAAGAATGTAAAGAAGGGAAATTCCAACTAAACAGTTTCCAAATGACCTTACACCTTTGAGCTGATGCTTGCCAGCAGAACATTGATTGACAGTGGTATGGCTTTGCTATAAAAAGGTCACTTTCCAATAACCATGAGTGGATATTGCTGTGATCATAGGAACCTGCAGTCTGAAAAGAAGATAATGGGATAAAAGTGGCAGAACTGTGCTAAGAAGTAGAAGGTTGTTTTTTTTTTTCTTCTAGTTTTCCTAAGAACATTTACCAAAGAGTAAATGACATGATTAAATGAACCTTCTTACAGAAATGTGAAAAGCATCATTCACTTGACACATTTGTTGTAAATTATAGATCCCTCAAGAACAGAAAAGAAAGAGAGCAAATGTCCTACCCCTGGGTGTGATGGAACTGGCCATGTAACGGGGCTTTACCCCCATCACCGCAGTTTGTCAGGATGCCCACACAAAGATAGGGTCCCTCCAGAAAGTAAGTTCACATTGTTTCACGGAAACCGGGGATAAAACTACAAAGATTTTTCTAGCATGCTTTCTAAACCTTTTGTTTAAAAGATTAATTTCATTTTTCAGTATGGTTTGTCTCAACTTAGTCAACTGTTCTGTGTTATACTCTTTCCTTTATTCCATCATTTCCATTCTCTACTAACTTTCACACTAAAAGAACAACTTTTAAAGCTGTATTCTTTGACTTTAAGAATCCTAGGTTATTTTTAAATAGATGTATTCAGTCAACAGAGAAAAAGGTTTCCAGAAGACGTGCACTGCTTTTACTTCTGCGTGCTGATGTCACATCAACTGTCCCCGTTGTCTTGTACAGGAATAATTGTACTTGAAAAACTCGCAACCCCTTTCCTTTGTTGTTGTTGTGTCTGAAACATAATTTATATTAAACTCGTTTATATTATTAAAAATAACGATTTGGCCATTACACAATTTACTTAGTTACACAACTCAAGATTTTGATCAACATCTCCTGTCAGTCACATGGGTGTAATTTCCTGCCACATCAGCGGATGCTCTACAAAGGAGGTTCACCCATCTGAGCCCAGGGACATTCACCTGAAGGCAGAGGGCTCCGTTTCTGGAAGTCACCTCCTTGGCTGGTGGAATCGGCATAGTTCTGTTGAAGCTGATTGCTCTATGCTGATGTACACCAGGCAAGCGTCTATCTGAGATCCAGTTCTCTTTCACACCAATTTTAGAATGGAGTAACTCCATTGAAGCCTGTGGACCTAAAATCCCCACTGTCCCTCAGCACTTACAGACCTAACCTTAGTGGATTTCCAACAGCCTAAAGGAGACAATCAGTGTTAAAATGGTCCCCAGTTGCCAAAGGGAAGTGGATTCTGAAGGATAGGGAAACAGAAATAGTTTAGCACACCAGGAGTGGCAGACATAAGTCTCCCCTTTCATGGTAGAGTGGCTTCTTCCAGAAGTAAAGTAATAAGGAAGTGCTTTAGGAAACTTTGCTGTAGCTTGGTTGATCTCTGAATACAGTAGAACAAATAGAGTAATTTCTCTGCTTTGAAAGACCCTGTAATTTTCTGAAACACAAATATTTATCAAGTTGCTTAAAGTTCTCTCGTTTTTACAAATGGTAAATAAAAAGCTCCTTAGAAGACTTTGTGAATCAAAGAAGAATATAGCTTTAAACTGTTTGCATGCTCTTGTACCTACTAAAATGAAAAAGGTGAGCTCATCTTTTTATTTTTTTCCTGTGATGTTGGCCTTGTGAAGCATGTTTCAAGAACAGCTTTGAATAGTAAGAATTTCAGAGTAAAGCTTTTGCATCTATACATGTTTTAGTTCACTGATGATGGGGTGATGATTATGGTTATCTTTTAATCAGTAAACATGTTTAAATTCTCAAGTCTCTGAACGGCTTTTATTCAGTTCTTAGTCAAGGAATTCACTGGTTTTATTAGATCTTGTTTTGAGTGAGAACTAAATACAGGCTTCCAGACTGGTTCTTGTGTGAGAAAAACAGAATATTACAAGGGCTGGATGTCTTTTTCCATAGGGTTATGTACAGCCATCCAGCCCTGAGACATGGATTCAGATATCTCCCACATCATACAAAACTCTTTACTGCTACCAAAATGTTCATGATAATTTGGCACTTCATAGCATGAGCTTTATGATTTAGAGGACTACTGCTCTGAACAGCCTTGGGATTAAGTTTTCCATCCAGCTTGCAATGGACGCAGATGTAAATCAGTTTACTTGCTTAAGCTTGTACCACTTAGTCCTTTTTTACACTGTTTTTTCTTCCTTTTTTTTTTTTTACCATCCCTCAATTTTTTTAAGTGCTTGTTTTCAGTTTTTAGCCTTTTGAAAACAATTTCTATCCATTGCAATCTCCACATCTGTAGAGAACACAAGTGAAAATTAAAGCACCAATTCTGCTCGTCGTATAGATATGAGTGATAAGTCTGTGTGGGAGTGGGCAGAACTGGCCCCTAGCTCAATTGGGCTGTCTGATAGTTAGGGTTAAATTCTGTTTAGGGTTGTATTGAGGTGTGTTTCAAATAATTCGGTGTTCTGCCAGTATAACCTGAGAGCAGATATTCAAGCTCTCAAGTTTGATACTGTGTGTGTAAAGCTATGCATTATGAATGCGTATGTTTTCTGAAAGAATTTTTCTAGTCTGTAATTTTGTATTGGACCATAACTAGCTCACACTTTTACTGTTGAGCCAGTCTCTGCTCAGTGTTTTTGTATGAAGAAGATGTTGGAAGTCTTCTGCTTCACTGTTGCACCAGAGATGCATTTGTTTATAGGTTCTGTAACCTTCATAACTTTCACTGTTGCCCTGTGTTAATGAACATAGATAGGGTCACGATACTTACTTCCCTCATCAGGCTTTACTGGCTATGTGTGTCACGTGTATTTTGAGGAATGCTGGTTGTTAATGAATCCTGCTTTGTTTTAAAATGGTTTCATATATACTGGGATTTGATTTTTTTTTTCTTGTTTTCATACTCTGCTGTTTTCTCTTACTCTCCTTGTCAAGTTCTTGCCATGCATGAAAATGTTCTTAAGTGTCCTACACCAGGCTGCACAGGCCGGGGCCACGTAAATAGCAACAGGAATTCCCACCGAAGGTAAGGATGCCATCGCTGGACGCCAATCTAGAGGGAACAGTGCCTCCGAACTGCAGCCCTTCTAGCAGTCCTTGGCGGGGGGGTGTGAGTGTGTGTATCGTTGTTTCGTTCTTAAGATTGACAGATGATGCTTCGTGTGCTTTATCCATTTTAAAGAGTACATTTCTTCATGTATTTTCTGAGGAGGACGAGTGTGCGTTTGCTTCAGTATGGATGAATTGGTCCACGGAAGACATTTTAAGCGTCCTTTAGCTTTTTGGGTGGATTTCTTTTCCTTTTGTTTCGATAGTAGCTGAACAGCAGTGGTACGAAACAAATGGTATGGCTCTTAAGGGTCTGTCACAGGGAGAAGGAAAAGTCTGCCAACATCAGCAGGCCTAGGGCCGAGTTCTTGTTCTCACACTTCACTCTCTTCAGGGAGTATTTTATAGTGCATGAAAAAGTCCACTCTACTCCTAAAAATGATTTTTTAATACATGAGAAATGGCATTTTAAGTACACAGACATTATAAGAGTTAGCTTTCCTATTGACCACAGTCTCAACCGTTAAGTCCTTATTCAGCTAAAACTGAATAATAATTTTGCCTGTTTAAGAAACATTATGAAAATGTCTCATTAAATTTAAAAATGAGAAGCCAGAAATATTAGATGTAAATATCTTAGCCAAACAAAAGATCAAGGGAAAACGTGAATTTTCTGTAGTTTCCGAAGATTAGTAATAGATTCTTGCAAAAGGGATGCCATTGCCTATTAAATTCTCTCCAACGCATATCAGATTTATCAAAATGTCACCATAATTTTTAGTCCACATCATAATTTTCCCATAGAACAAGAACTTGCTTATTTCTTTACAGTTTTTAAAAATCCAGGAAATGTGGGTAAGAAGAACCATGCAAGGTTCCTATTACCAAATTCCTTTTTTTTTTACTGTTACCTGTAGCATGAAGGCTTAAGGGACTACACAGGTACTGGGTGTTCAGTCTTATGAAGTTCTGGGTTACTAGAAGCCCCTCATATTAACTGCATGTCTCCTAGAAGACTCTTGCGGGTACCAGGCCATCTGCAGTAAGCTCTGGTACCCTTTTCTTCTCTGCAGTCACGCTGCCAGTAGAAGCAGCAAAAACCTCTGGGAAGGCTTTGTGGGAATTACTGCTGCTTGAAGCAGCATTCACTTCTGGTTGAATATCTACTAGAATATTTGAGGTGTCGGAAGAAGAGCATGTCAGTGGAGCACAGCTGCCCTCTGGCATGGCTCCAAAACCGCGCAGAGCCCCCTCACCCCTCTGCAGAACTAGGGCAGCGAGGGAGGGCTGGGGAGAGCAGTCTGCAGCCTGTGCTCACCTCTTTCTGCAGCTTTTGGGGCATTTTGCTCTGCTTCACTTTTTTTGATTCTTTTTTATCCCCCTTATTTCCTGTAGGGAAGGAAACATCTGGGGATGCACTGATTTGCCTTTCATTTTAATTTCTTTTCCTGTGGAGAACACAGAGAGCTGCGGTCACATAAGCACGCAATAGACTATGACAAGGAAAAGACCCCCCTCCATTGTCAGGTCACAGGCTTTTACAGCTTCACTAAGAGCACCATCTGCTGGCATCAATATATTTATTTTTCCCTGTTCTAAATCTTTTCCAGAAGAATCAGGCTTAGTATTGTCACTTCAATAATACTTCAGTATTTGAAAATTTAATTGAATTTCAATTCAAGTGCAGAAGTTCTTTTCACGTTTCATCATTTACTATTAGAAAACATATTTTAGTGGCTGAAATTCATGAAAAAACCCACTAAGTATAACGTAGTTGAGATGTAGACTTAAAGACCCAAGGCCAGATTTTGCACTCATTTATATGCCTTGCAGAAAGATTTGAGTTAATCGAGCTGAATGAGGTGTGAAGCAGTGCAAGATCTGGCCTGTATGGTGGTGTCATTTAATCATCTTCAGAAGCCATTTCATTGGCAACATTTGGAGATGCAGAAAGGTCACAAGTTTGCTAGTAGAGCTGCACAATAGATTCCAGTTTATATCCTCCTCTCCTACTGGTATGTTCACTGGCTGACATCCATGAATAATCTACCCATGTATGGTCAGAGCAGAAGAGCAGATGTAAGATCTACCTTGCAACTTTGAAAGCAGAAGAAAGGAATTCTATTCTAGAAAAAAATATATATGACCAAAAAGGTTTTGGAAAGTCTTTTCCTTCAGATTCTTCCTGATGCTGGCTAAGGAGGAGAAGGAGTAATTGGATCAGTGCTATAATGTGAAACTACGCAGGACAAGACAATTAAATTTCCTTTCTGTAATTGCAGCCTCTCTGGATGTCCTATTGCTGCAGCAGAGAAACTGGCTAAAGCTCAAGAGAAGCATCAGAACTGTGATGTGTCAAAATCAAACCAGGCATCAGATCGGGTTTTAAGGTATTAGAAATCACTATAATACTTATTATTATGCAGAATTCATCACACATTCACCTAAAATGAGAATTTATATTTATATACGTTGTATATACATATATATCTCCTTTAAAGAAGAGTTAGAATTAGGGCTTCTGGATCCAATACTCACAGTGTATATTTCCCACTCAATTTACATGGGGGAGGGTTGGTAACTATTTTGGCAAATACATGTAAAGCTGAAAAGCTCATTTTTGTCTTAGGCATTGTTTGGTGTAAAGATGACTGCTGGAGTGCAAAGTCTAAGAACAGTGTGAAAAAAGTTGGTATCTTTTGGGAATAAACTAATATTTACCGGTAAGTCTTGGTTTTTTCAGCAGGCTTTTACTAGTAAATATCAGTTTAAATTAAACCAGAAGCCCTATATACATCACCAAACTTGTAGTACATCTTTTGGCAGGACATTTTGAAAAATGCCAGGTATAGCTTAGATTCCAAAATAAGGTCAGGCTTAGTTCTTTGTCTTTATTCCCCCACTCACTGTCAGGAAGGATGGAAAGAGAGAATAATTCTTCCAAATTTTCATATGGGAAGGACCTTTTACGAATTTGAGAAAATTATACCCCTTATCTTCATCCATGTAGGATTTTGTATTTATGCAAAGATGTATGCAGCTTTCTGCTATTGTCTCCTCTTTTGAGATACGTGGGTGGAAAAAATATTATTTCTAAGGAGCTGAAGTGTGAAGGATACATGTAAAGGAACTAGACTTCTGCATGATTGTACCAGCCTTATGCTGATGATGCCCCAAGAGCTGCAGAATTTCTCCATGGATACTGTGATATCTGTGGGCTGGGATAGGTACCTCCCTCCCAGCTGTCTCGAAGAGCGTGGAGGAAGTGCCGCAGCTTTAGTTCCCAGAATTTCCCACTTATCCCATAGGTTTCTTAGTATGAAGCTGTCTTCTAGATTTAAAATCTGATAGGTCCGCTTAAAAATGAAAGTTTTCTACTGTATTATCAACATCATTCTTTGCATATTCTCTTAAAACTTCATCTAATCTTGATGGTCTTTTCAAAAACCAGTCTTTCCTTAGAGCTGACAACACAGAATTACGGTTCACATCTACAGAAGATTCTTTGTCATGCCTGTTGTTTACCTTCTTCACACTGTTTTTGATGAGCTTTATCTTACCTGCCCCTAATTCAGATTCTACATATAGCATCCCAAACAGTTTTCTTAGAGAAGGGTTCTTCAAAACCTATGAATAAGAAACACCCTTTGAGGGAATAACACACTTTCTCACTTGATGGAAAAAGACAAGTCAAAAATGCAGTGGCTTTTACCACTGCTCATTAGAGGGAAGCCACTGAAGTCAGGTGGCTTACAAAGAAGGCAACTGCTCAAAAGCAGCATCCGGTTTGCTGGCAAAACTCCCTAGGAAGTTGTGCTGCAATCTTAACTTTGCTTGTGAGCCTGCCCTGTGTTTCAGGTTTTATAGACAACTCAAATAATGCTTTCATCTTGTCTCCTGCTTGCTTTTTACCTTTAAGTCCTTGAAGTATTTAAGATGAAGAACTTGGGAGCTATTTATAATATTTGCATGCAGGCAACTGATGGGCAGACAGAGATGTTCTAAGAGTAAATCTTGAATATTTGTCTTCATCCCAGTTTCCATCCCACCTGCATCAAAAATTTCTTTCTTACTTAAAAAGAAATCAAATTCATAGGACTTTTGTTCCACAGAAATTTTGGATTTGCATTGAATGTACAGGATCTGAATTGCATTTTTTTAGCTAAATATAGATTATCTTGAGACAGGATCAAAATATTATTCATATCATCTCATTGTATAAATGAGCCCACTGTATTTTGTGAGGAAGAAGTGTCTAAAGAGACGAGCATACATAAATCAAAGAGAATAGTATGACTAATAGGATTTCTTGGGTGATCTTTACATAAATATCCTGACTAAATTCTATGAAAATGAATTAATTCAGAAAAACATAATATTCAAAACCTGTTTCTTACTATTTATCACATTCCATTTTGTCAGTCAGCATGATGATACTTCTGGTCTTGACTGAATTTATCTTCCTATGAATGTTCCTTCCATTTCCTCTGGTTATAAATGCAGAAAGGGAAAAAAAAAAAAAAGAAAAAGAAAAAAATACTTGATTATATGATTCTTGATTCCAGCAGAAGCACCTCAGGTGTGCTGTTCATCATCTTTACCTCCTACTAAACACAGTAGGTAGACATGCAGCACTGTGTAGCTGTTGCTCCCCATGACCCAGTCATTTAACACTTTCTTATGTAGGTAAGATTTGCAGGATCTGACCTTCATTTACCTGCTTTGAGAGCTGGTGACTCCTGTGTCCCCATGCAGAAGACAGCATGGCAGGAGTTCACTACTGCATTCTTTCACTGAGATTCAACAAGTTTCTCCAATGGCCCAGTGAGATCAGTCAGTGCTTCTCCTGACTATCCTCCCTCATACTCAAAGAACAGGAAGTTCAGCTGATAGTTCCACTCCGTGTTCATTCACAGGACCTTCCGTGAGGTGTGTATCGGTGTATCAGGAATCGCAGCTCCTGCCAGACCTTGCGTTTAAGGCTGAGCAGGATCTGCCAGGCAGCCGCTCAAAGTCAACAGAGATTGTGAGACTCTCTGTGTATTTCTCAAGAAAACATGGATTTGTATTTTGAGGGATGGAACAGGACTAGCTCCTTTGTAAAGCGTACGGGAAAACAGCATACAACTCTGTTGACAGAAATCCATTAATTAAATGGAGCTTCCAGTATATTTTCTTTTTGGCATTTAAAGGAATCTGTCCAAACTTCTTCTGTCAGTCTGCTTGCCCCTCTTTAATTCACATCCCAAAAGTAAAAAATGGTTGCTTTGTGATGGAATTACATGGGGAAAGGGAAACCCTGAAGTATTTTAAAACAGAATTTTAAAATAGTTTTAGCTGCAGGATACATTTAGTGGTATTAGAGTTAATTCTGTCTAGGCTTTGTTCAAGAAAATATATATTGTTTGTCTGCTGAAAATAACCAAACTAAGCAAATGCACTAATATATTCCTGTCTCTTGAGTACAAGAAATAACTAAGATTTTCTAATCTGAACTATAAATTATGCACAGACACAGTAAACTGAACTGCATCTAACAAACTTTACATATCTTTAATTTCTAGGCCCATGTGCTTTGTTAAGCAATTGGAGATCCCTCAGTATGGCTACAGAAACAATGTCCCCACCACCACACCCCGCTCCAACTTGGCCAAGGAACTAGAGAAATACTCTAAGACTACGTTTGAATATAACAGTTATGACAACCATGCCTATGGCAAGAGAGCCATAGCTCCCAAGGTGCAATCCAGGGATATATCCCCCAAAGGATATGATGGTAGGAGGTGCACACTCTTATACATGAGAGACAAGTTTGCAGTTGATCATGTTGTTGTATATGTAAACATCATACAAATAAGACATGTTTTCATGTTCATATAGTATTTTGAGGAATGCTGTCATGTGTAAGTTCTTTTGAAGGCCTTTGTAAAAAGCGTTGTTTTATACGGTGCTTGCTTCAGGATTGTTGCACTGGCAAAGGAACATCTCCAGCTATTAAGCTCCTGGGATGTGTTGAGGTCGCTATAAAAGCTAAGCAATAGAGCTAGTCCTTATGTTGCTGTCGGGGAGACCTGGCCTCAAGGGTCACATTAGGATTCTCGCTTCTGTACGGTAGTTCAGGTAACCCATAAAGATAACATACTTGCTCTGTGGGGATATCGAAGTAGAAAACCTGGATCATACTGCACTTCAGAAATCACTGCTACTTACTTAATGAGGCATTTCTGCTCATTTTGTCCTCGTGAATGCACCTGTTGAGTTCGCTGGAAAACCCAACATATTTAGGAGTAGGCTGAAAGTGGCTTCAGTTCAGGAGGAGATAATGGATGGAGTCTGTCAGGCAAGAGGATTTTTATTAGGGGAGAAAAATGAACTGCAGGATAAAGAATGAGGATTTGGATTGTAGGTTTTGACGACATCAGGAATTTTTCTGAGCAACACAATTATGTGTATATATACATATATAATGTGTGTGTATATATATATATATAAAACCAAACTGTACCTTTATATATATATATATGGGGGTTTTTTTTGTCAGCAGTTTTATTTTTTCGTTAAAATATTTGATACTACTGACTGACTACCATAGGAAATTTCAGGCAGGTGTCAGATTTTTGTTTAGGAAAACAGAAATAAATGTACTATATAGAACAATTTATGCTGTTGCCTGAACACAGACTCTGACATTCACAAGTAGGTAAGTGGCGAAAGGGAAAATTGCTCCAGCTCTTGTCTTCATATTTTTGATATTTCAGATATTTTGCTTTCTCATAGAATCAACAGGCATGTTCTTGCACTATAGCAGAAAGGAGAAGGGTTATGAAAGGCACCATATTTTTGAGTAAAAGTGCCCTTTTTTCTTTCATACACTGGTCTTGTTTGCCTCTATCAGAATGAGGGCTTAAACATTATTAAAAGTAAAGCACTAACAAACTGTGGCTAGTCAGCTAATTAGCATACATTAATATAAGATAAATGAGATATTAACTGTTGTGTATATGCTATGTCTACTCTTTCAGAAAGGAAAGAATCAGAATATTCCTGCGTGTCTTATGGACATGGGTACTTTCAGATCAAATTACGGATGCTTAAGCAACTGATAGATATTATTCCCATTTAAGACCCCTTTTCAGCAAATAATTACAGACTCTGCTTTTCCCAAATCACGAGAACTTGAAAATCCATGTAACATTAAACACAAGCTTAACAGTGGCCTTCAATAATGAAATACTATGGTGTTATGGGTCACTGTCTTTATGCATACTTATCTTTCCTTTATATAAATAGGAATTTTACTTGGAGATAAGACTGGGACTAGGTTGCTTCACTGCCCACTAAGGTGAGCCAGAGAGGCCTGAGGGACAGTGTATGCATGTGATTCATGCTGGTACAGCAAGTATACAAGGTTCTTGTGTGCTCAGGACAGCTGAAGCCCACTGCAGCTGGGGCAGGTTGTTTACCAAACAAAGGCTAATTCCCACTCAATTTATTTCATACCCCTGTCTCTGCAGGAGGTGGCTCACTGTACCTGGTTCCAAATGTGTGCTCTTTGGCCAGGCAGACATGCCAGCATGGTCCTAGACATGGGGCCTAATTGGAGGTTTTCTTTGTACCCTATCAGTGATTTTCATTAAACCTTTAGGATTCACATCTGATATTCCACATGCACTCATCGTATTTGGCTAAAATTGGAAAAGGGTTTCAACATTCCTCAGGAAAATAAGCTATAAATTTATGGATTGATGATGTGAAATCCTTGGCATGCTGAAATCGGTCAAAATTTTGGCACTGGCTTTCAGTGGGGCAAGGATTTTGCTGACAGGTATTGTAAATAAATGAATGTGAAAGAGATTTTAGGAAGAGGCCCTTCACTTGAAAGAGTGACTTTTCCTCAAGAAACTTTGCAGTATTTCTAGGTGATTTCATATTTGTGTGTAAAAACCCAAAAATTTCATTATTGCTACTGAAGTCATTGTGGAGGTACAGAGTACACCACCTATTATGTATGTCAGCAAACACATCTATATAAAAGCAGGTTTAGTTCTGAAAAGTCATCCTGAAAAACCTGAAAGTAAGCCTAAGGTTTTGGGAGAACTTCAAAGTAAACAACACTTTAGTTTTTCTGACTGTGAAATGAGACATATCATAGAATCATAGAATGGTTTGGGTTGGAAGGGACGTTAAAGACCATCTAGTTCCAACCCCCCTGCCATGGGCAGGGACACCTTCCACTAGACCAGGTTGCTCAAAGCCTTGTCCAGTCTGGCCTTGAACACTTCCAGGGATGGAGCATCCACATCATCTCTGGGCAACATATAGTCTAAGGATCTGAAAAAATTACAACTTCATGTCTCAATCCTCTTTTAATTGTAAGCTAGTACTGTATTTTCATCATCAGAGAAAGGGATTATACGTTAAGTAAGTGTATGGTTGTGAGTGACATAAACATAAATAGCTCCTTTGGACTGTTTCCTTGATTTTTGTTCCAGTAAGCTTTAGTAAAAAACAAACAGAAAATGTATACTTTGTACTGTGGGGTAGGATACTGTCATAATTCTTGAGAAATCTTGGGTTTGTGGGCTTTTTTTTTGCTTTGAAACCAGTTTCATAGTGTATTGGATGTTGGGTTTATGGTATACAGAAGCGGCAGAGATATGAACAGCTGGACAGAGCAGGCAGAGGAGGCAGCAACCTTTCAGTTGCTCAGCTGATGGCAGGAGCTCCTCTCATCCTACCAGTAGGACTGGGTCTTTCCATCAAAACACTGAGAAAGTGTTAGGAGTAGGATTCATCTGACCATATCTAGCCTCCTCTAATGTCAACACCTACATCTGAGCTCTTCACCCCTTTCAGATCTGAGGAGAAAGATAGACACTTCTCTGATGCAATTCATTCAATTCCTCCTGAAGTACGTAATTAAAACTGGTCAGGTGAATCACTGCCTGAAAGTTCTTGGTTTTTTCCACTGCCTGTAGAGGAAGCCTGTAATGACTAGGTCAGATATCTGAAGTCAGTTGTGATTAATCTCTTATTGTGCAAGTCAGAAAAAATATTGAAACTGTAATGTACATAACATACGTAGTGTTTAGGCAATACCGGGGATGAGGGTGCCTGGGCAGAATTTAATTCCACTGAAAATACCTTAGATTGGTCCTTTATGTTGTTGGGATCTCTCCCACTCCTCCATTATTAATTAGCAAGAGGAGCCTGTAGACAGAGAGATTCGTCATCATCAGCCCCTAGGCATGCCTGACGGGAGGCCAGCGTGGGTATACAGCTGGTCAGACCCGTGTCTGTTATTTAATGGGAAAGGTGTTCTCCACATTTGGTTTCACCCTGGATCACAAAGCATAGAGGGGACTGCAGAGCTTCCAAAACTTGGTGCCATACAGTTGGGCGACATAGCAAGCAGAATTGTCTGGTATGGAAACAATGCATCTTTCCCTTCATTAGATACCTAATTGATTTAGTTCATTACAAATCGGTGATCTTTGTTTCTCCTGAAAAGCTAATGTGAAATGAACAGTCTGGCTTATGTGATGCATCTTAAAATGTACAGCTACAGTAAAGTTAAAATAACCATGGCCATTTTTCTCTAAGTGAGTTTTGCTTAAATTATTGTTAATCTAAAAGCTAATAATTGAGTAGCATGCTTATAGCACTAACATCTTCAAAGTGTTTTGCAAGTGAATCACAACACAGCTAAATTTTAGAAGAACTTTCTACTTATAGGGAAAATGAATTTGAGGGATAATATAGTTTGACCAAGGCCACAGAGGAGTCCATATCAGAGCCTGCATGAGTTTCTGATGGTTAGTCCTATGTATAAAGCTGCCTCTTTACCCCCTTTCTTTAGCACATCTTCTCATATATATAATTTCCCATGTAGTATGTCTCTTACATCTGTCTAAATGTGACCTGCTATAACAAGACTAACGTTTTTTGCAAGAGACAGAGGTCTTATTTGTTCATGTGAATTTTTGAAAGATACTTCTAATTTGACAAGTTCAGTGGTACAGGGTGCTTGCTGTGTTAACACAGTAGAAACTGAATTATTCAATTATTTCCTTCCTTAAGTATAGGAAAATTCTTGTGTGTCTTGAATACCGTTACAAAGTAACAATGGATAAATGCTGAATTTTTAATGACCACCACTGACTACTATATTAATAATGAAACTCTTGAGAAATGGTTCACAGATTTATTGTTAGTGGATACCCTGCTAGAGTAGTTCTACTATGTGTTCAAAACAAAGAAATGTGATGAATGTTTAGCATTCACTTCACTTAAAAAAAAAATCAGACCCTGTGCATTATGTGGCTTTCCTGAGAAAAATCCATCTGTTACGAATTAAGTGAAACATTATTTCCTTTGCAGTAAAAATAATGCCAGGATTTTTTTTTTTTTCATTTTTTTAGAGAAAGGAGGATGACACAAGCTCTAGCAGAGATATTTTGCTTTCAGATTCTTCTTTTGAACCCTGCCTGCCTACCAAAGCAGCCTGTGGTTCACAAATGGGCTGTGCTCATGGGAGCAGATTATTATATGTATGTCTGCTCAGACAAATACACCTGAAGAGTCTGGCATTTAAATGGAGCCCATCACAGAAGAGCTCTAGCTAGGGCCTGACCTTCTTTGTATAGCGCTCTAATCAGCATGCTAGTTGGTTATTGTTACACTGTGCTATATGGTATGATCCCTGCCGTATGCATTTCCATCTTAAGGGGAAGTAGTCACTGTAATATGCATGTATGTATCCTCTGACCTTGGCATTTATTTTTTTATGAAAATACATGAACTTTTATATTTGGGAGATGAGCTGACACTTTCATTTTATATAAACACTTTTAAAACAGTTTATTTGGGAAGAGGGTTGGAGAAATAAGTGAGCAAATAGGGCTGCTTCCCGTTATCACTTTAATACCTTTGGCCGCAAGGAGCATTTCTTAAAAGCAGCAGAAGCGCTGCGCTGTACGCAGATAGGCCGGACGTGAGCTTTGGCCGTGCCCTCGCGCTTCTGCGGCCTCTGGAGGCTTCTGTTGGCCCGAGCACAGCCAAGTGCCCCCGTCCTCGGCGTGAGCAGGCAGGGGTGTCTGTGGCCCTTACTGTTCTTCTGAAGAGTCGCAGGTGCTCGTGTTGTTTGAAGGTGGGGACGTTTCACTTATATCCATTTCCATTTATGCAGCCGCTGCTTCTGCCTTTGTGCGAGCCATGGTAAAACTCATGTGACCACCACCTTTCTTCCTCCATCCTGCACCTCTCCTTTCTGAGGGCCAGTGTGGTCATATATGCCGGTGAAGTAGGAAGAAGAAACCTTTTAGGAAGCATGGGGTGTTTGAGGACATGCGGGTAGTGTCATGGCCCAGACACCAAGCCCATCAGCCATAGGGTGGGCTCGTCTCCAGCAGCTTTGGGGAGTCTAGGCCTTAAATTAACCGTTTGCTCATGTAAATAGCAAAAGGTCCTGTACTGTTACGTTGCCCCTCATTAAGAAAAATGAATGAGCCGAGCAGATCCTACCTTCTGTCTGACTATGTATGTGGGGTAAAAGCAGTGTTTCTGTGTTTTTATTGTTTTATAAATCCAGCCTGTTTGTCAGAACGATTCATGATCACATCATGCAGAGTTTTACAGGCAGTTATTTCATACAAACTCACATAAGTAGCATATAAAAGTCACAGACAGAAATCAAGAAATACAGCCATCATTCTTACTGCGGGCTTTTTTTTTTTCTTTTTTTGCATCCGTTGCTGTTGCTCATTATAAATTTCACCTCCAGCAGTTTGTTTTTCTCTTCGCTTATGCAGAATGTTCATTCTTTTGAGTCATCCTTGTCATATTTCTTCCCACAGCTAAACGCTACTGTAAGAATTCAAGTCCAACCAGCAGCACAACAAGCAGTTATGCCCCTAGCAGCAGCAGCAATATGAGTTGTGGTGGAGGCAGCAGTGCCAGCAGTACCTGCAGCAAGAGCAGCTTTGACTATACTCATGACATGGAGGCAGCGCACATGGCTGCTACTGCTATTCTGAATCTCTCCACTCGCTGCAGGGAGATGCCTCAGAACCTCTCCACTAAGCCTCAGGATCTCTGTGCGAGGGTAAAAATTAGTAATTCTGTTTGTTGATGAAGATTTCTCTTTACTGCACTTGCTTTGTGGCCCTGATAGATAGAAGAAGAGCTGTAGTACATTATTTCTTTCCTTTTCCTCAAAATTAACATAATCTGGGGCTCTGCTAAAGAAAGGAGGGGGAAAAAAAAAAGAAAATTCCTCACAAGTATCTCGGGAAATCCCAGTCGGTATATAAACTGATGATACTGTTAGCATGTAGTCCCTCTTTTTTAAATTTGTATCTTACTAGTGAGAACTTTAAGTATAAACGATGCTTAGGTTGCTCAAGTAATATTGATTTCACTCCTGATTTTTTTGCTAAACACTGTCTGATTCATATGTTTTGTGAAAGGGTTGAGATTTATCAATGTATTTTCATTTAAAAGTCACAAATGGGACCTCAGGTTGCAAGATCTAGTACAAAGAAATCCATGTTACTTATATAATTTCTTGCCTGTCTGTGATATCACAGTTCTAAAGTCATTGTATAATATATTTGAAGTGAATAAATCCTCCAGTACAGGAGACTTTAATTGTGCTTAACAGTAGTGCAGGGTCAGTAATGTTCCGTATGTTCATACAGCGTCGGTATACTATGAAATGGCTATACAGATACAAATAAAAGGATGTGTTGTTAAGCTTCACATAAGAAAAAACAGTGCACTATTAAAATGAGTTAAAGATTTACTGGAAGATTTTTTTTTTTATTATAAATGTTGTTTTGGCTCTGATAGCTGTTAAGAAATGAGTATTTACCGTGCACTAGCCAAATGTACAGTGCTGCCTATAGGCGACCACTAGATGGCTAAGCAGACAGATGCAGTGCAGAGGAAACATTTTATTGTGCTTATAGAAGAGCTTTTGCACTGGCAGACATGTTCTGTTCTACATATAGACAAAGGTTTTCTTTCCCTCGTCGTGAAAAGCCCCTTGATCATTCATAACAAACTAAACCCGCAGCAGCAGCAGATATTAGTAATAATCATGATTTAAGCTAGAATGCCTCATGACTTTGTTTTCAAATGCTGCTTTTTATATTAATTTATTTAATACTGTTTAAGAGGGAAATCTCTTTCTGGCATGTAAATAAATGCAGTTGTTCTCTACATCAACATGATGGAAAAGGTTGGAATAAATTGCTGAAAATCTTCTGTGTCAGAACCAGAAGAGGCCTTTTTCTTCATGTGTCACCCTATATTGAGACTGAAGGAATGAATCTGAGAAGAGAAATAAATATTTTCTGAATTAAATTAGCAGGATAGAAGCAATTAGATATGTGCTCTGCCAAAAGGCAATAATTCAGAAAGAGAGATTTGCATTCACGGGGCCTTTCTGCAGCCCTGTTGTTACTCCAGAGGAGAGAAAGCCCTCAGACATATGTGGAGTCAGTCGCATTCGCATTAGTCTGGAAACCAGATTTCTTGTGGAGCATTTCATTTTTGAAAGGATGAGGATTTCTCTGTGGGTATTTTTAATTTATCTGTTCTTAGTTTTTTTTAAAAATTGGCTTCATTTTGAGGTATCTTATTTATCCTCACCTCATATAATAAATGACCCTTTTTTGCTTCTATAAAAAAGGCCAGAGCCTCACCCTATTTTTCACAGTACCTCAGTCGCCACAGAAATTGACACTATCCTTGCAAGTATTCTGCTACCTAAATTTATTGATTAGAAAGATAGATGTATGAAATACTAACACATGTACGTCTTCAGGGAAGGAACTGTGAAATTTGAATGTATTTCCTCATTGGCAAATGGTGCCCAACAGGACTTGTTTTGGTACCCTACCTCCCTGTTTAATTTTCTGACATTATCTATTCCAGCTTTGACTGTTAGTGATAAATAAGCAGAGAAACAAAGACTATTTGATGCTAGCTGGTTTTTGTTACTCTAATCATCCAGACAGTTGCCAGGACTGGGAACAAGAATTATGCAGATGTTACCTCATAGATACTCACCTGTCACAGAATAAATCAAGAACGTAACAACAAAGACAAGAAAATACCTTTAGAGATTTCTCCTTTTCATTCCAAATTTTGCACCTGTGTGCTGGATGGCAGGAGGGTAATGAAGATTCTCCCCTCTTCCCCCAAACATCAGATTAGCCATTCAGGAAGAAATCTACTTTAACAGCATTAATGTTGTGTAACAGCATCATGCTATGTGTGGGAGGGGGCTCAATGCTTACAATGTATACAGGAATGGAAAAGCGTTTTATCATTCTGCTAGGCAATCAGATTGAAGAACACAGAGAGGTAGCAGTTTGCTGGTGTGAAGCCGAATTAACACTATTTTTCTTATTTTGACAGAATCCTGATATGGAAGTTGATGAAAATGGGACGTTGGATCTGAGCATGAACAAGCAGAGGCAGCGAGATGGTTGCTGTACCATTTTGACACCACTGGAGCCAATGTCCCCGCAACGGCAAGCCGTGATGAATAACCGGTGTTACCAACTGAACGAGGGTGACTGCTGGGACTTGCCAGTGGACTACACTAAAATGAAGCCCAGTAGGATAGATGAAGATGATTCCAAAGAGATTAATGTATGTCTTTTTCATCTATTAGTTCTTGTTGTAATCTAAGTTTGGTAATTCATTACATTTCTGACATTTGGAGGAAAGTTAATACGTGATAAAATGGTGGCTTACTACAAAAAAGGACTTTCTGCTGGTTAATCTTTAGGACTATATCATGCTGGCACACATCTGATCTGTGACTAAGTTCCATAAGACAACATTTGAACCATGAATGTGAATCATGTTTTCTAACAGCATCATCTTGTTAACAAATATTTTCTGCAGTAAAGATGTTTCTCTATATCCAGATTACATTACTCTGTGTAAGCAAGTTGACGTAACTGAGCAATACTGGGGTAATCAGCTCCCAAGACAAGATAGTCTCCTGAATTTGAAAACCATAAATGATGTGCTGACGATTTGAAAGCATGTATTACTTAGAAATAAATTTAAACAAAAGGAGCAGAGTATAATGTAAGCTTTCAGCTATTTCAGCTAATCTTCTTCTAGATTACTTACACGCTCCTGATATCTCTGTGTGTGAAAGGGCCTGTATTAATGAAATACTTTCTTTCAACAGTACAAAAAAAGAGATATTATAAATCAGTGTTACTTTTCAATTCATAATGCCAAAACCACAGCAAAACCCTTTAAATGGAAGAGGCAAATAAAGAAAATTACGTTAGTGAATTTGTTTTCCTTTTTCGAACTTAGAACATCCAGGACACTGAAGAGGTCTGCTGACAAGGTTCAGTGCCAAGGCTTTTGTTCATCAGGTTCCAACCCTTATCCACTGTGCAGTTTACAGTGCTGCACCCACTGCAATTTAGCTGTTTGGAGGCTTCTACTTTTCATTGGTTTATAACACAAAATTAGACTAATCATTTTTGCGTAGCACAGCTCTTAATGATTTTAATTAAAACGTAAAACTATTTTCAGTAATTCTGAAAAATACAACAAAGTGACATTTTCACTAGATGCACTGAATGCATTCTAGCTCTGGTGTTAATTACAGTTTTGCTATTAATTTCAGTGAAGTTGAGAGGAAATCTGTCACTATCAAGGAAATGTGAGGTAAAACAGACAGTATAGAGAGGTTTTTTCCAGAGCAACCAGAACTCCCTATTTATACTGTGGTGTTCATAGCACCATCTGCAGGAATCGCTAAGTCAATGCATTCAGCCGCTTTATTCCTGAAACAGGCGGTTTGAATTTCTGAATGCATCACTAAAGTTAATTACAAATGATAGAATTCTGTTTTGGCAGGCAGATCCACTGAGGTTTGCCCCAGAGGTTAAGATTGCTTCTGTTTCATTTTTGAGATGTTCTAAACTGTTAAAAATGTTATTTAAGATGATTTTTTGATGCCTAAGATACTGTATTTAGTAATTTTTTTTCCATTTCCTCTGCTTTGCCCTGACTTTAGAAAAAAAATACTGTTTCTTTTAAAGCAAAATAATATGACAGCTATAGAAAAAGCTGTGTTTTCTTCTTTTTTTCTTTTCTAGTTAAATAAACTATTTCACATTTTGTGAAGTCTTCCATCAAAATATCCAAATATTTTTTAAAGGTTTAACAGGTCAAGGAATATAAAATAATTTCATTAATTTTCTCAGTCAGAATAGGATAAAGGAGGTGATAATGTCTGATGGTTCTGCTTTGCATTATTTCATGTAAGCTGTAACCTCACCATGCAGAAAATAATGCGTGTATATTTGCCTGTAGCCAGAAGATTTGGATCCTTTCCAAGAGGCGCTTGAAGAAAGAAGGTATCCTGGTGAAGTTACAATCCCAAGTCCTAAACCCAAGTACCCTCAATGCAAAGAGAGCAAAAAGGATTTAATAACGTAAGCATAATGTGAGGTGAAATTATTTTTCTCCTTTTAACCTTTTCTCTCTTTGTCTTTTTTTAAACAAACGGGTACATATACGCCTTGCAGTATGAGCATGCAACATTTGCAGCATATAAATGTTCCAAACTGCCAGTTAAGTAAAGTGATAAGCTAGCGTGTATTTGCTTGTTCTTAATGATGCTATATTGTATTGAGACGCCATTTTCATTTAAACCAGTTCATTTTGCAGCTTTTCGATTAGGATGCTTAAAACCCCTTGCAGTCATTGCAGCTAAACTGGAAACAATGAAACTTTTAAAAGTTTTTTTTTTAAACATACTTACTATTTTGGCTGTTTTTGTTTTTGTTTGGTGGCAGATGTCCAACACCAGGGTGTGATGGGAGTGGTCATGTGACTGGTAATTACGCCTCACATAGAAGGTGTGACTTCATTTTTTTCATGGTGGATTCTGTCTTTTCAATTTATTGTTTTCAGCTTACCTCAACAATGCTGTCAAAGTAAAACGTTGAACTATGTGTTAACCCTTTGAGTAATATATGTTGATCTTAAAAGCATGCTAATTTGTGTGTTGTATAAACGTCTTTTATTTTTAACTAGATTTCTAAAATTTCCAAAGTATGCTTAAGCATTTAAGTAGTTAACCCAGGAACCTCAAATATTTTATGTTACATTCTACTAGTTCATAGAGAAACAAACAAAAAAAAGAACATTTGCAGTATGTAATTTTGGAAGTAATGTTGATACCTAAATATATTCAGAGGGTTAACTATTACAAAATTCAATATTACAGCACTTGCCCCATCGCTTTTCTGCATTACAAACTTTTACTTTTTAATTTTTATGTTGTGTTTGTTTGGGAGTGTTCAGTTAATAAAAAGATTAACTTACTCGTATGTCCTGCCATGTCTTACAGTTTATCTGGCTGTCCCTTGGCTGACAAAAGCATTCGAAGTATGCTGGCCACAAGCTCACAAGAACTCAAGTAAGATATAAAGAACAAATATTTTCTTTATAAATAGTTATTTGACCGCAAATTGCATATAATTATGTCAGAAAGTAGAAACACTATCTGGAGAGCTGCTGCAGAAGGGGCTGATTCTGCTTGGAACATGTGTCAAAGTCTAGAAATCTCATACAGGCTGGCTTTATACATAAGTCTGTTGGCATAGTATTTCCTTTTGTGTGTCCATTAGGTGATAGGGATGGACAAAAGTCAGAAATTCTGGAATTTCATCTAAATGTTTGAATTCCTACTCAATTTTTTTTCGGAACGCTTGAGTTCGCTAGTTAGAACAGAATATTCTCATGCGATTAGACTCATGAAATTCTTCTGATTACACAACCAGTAAAGTGCTGCAGTTTCTCAGACATAGGTTGGAGGAAGAAGGAAGTGGTTTGTTTATCCCTAATACTTGCATAATTTTGCCCAGGTTTATATCACTATTACCAGCTTGATGCATTTTCTCATTTGACTATGGTTTTAGTATTTACTTAGTTATTCCCCTACTTAAAACACATTCTTTACAATTCCTTTCAGTTCTTTGGAGTGATAATTGCGTGCAATGAAAGTTAGAGAATTGTGAGGCTTATCTTTGATCTCACTTCCTGCTTGATCAAAACTCTACGTGGAAGAACTATAGCATTCGTTAGTGCTATGAAATAACGGTACTCCTGGGTTGGTACTATGGTTAATATGGAAGGATGTACTCAGTAACAAGGAAAAATTGGGTAGGGGAAGTATGAGTGGATAGCTCATGCTGCCACGCTAAGCAGTATTCTGTCTTTGCTGTACGTAAGTGCCTTAAATAGCATTTCTTGAGTTCAGTACATACCTGGATGAAAATAACAACCGTAAAGCATGGGAATGATGAGAAAGCAAGCATGCAAAAGCTGCTGAAGTAAGATCGCTCTCTAGTTTTAGCTAAACTAGTCACTAGATGCAAACAATAGGTGCAAAATTTACAGTTTATTTCCCACCCAATCAAACAAAACCATTTTGAAACTCAGTTTAGATTGTGTGGGTATCTGCTGCTAGAAGGCTGTGTGATATGCAAAGGGAAGGGTTGTAAGTGGGATCAGGGAAAACATGTAAGTACAAGCAGAGTAAGACATGGGCATATAACCCAAAGAAACTAAGATTTGGACCTGTATTTTGGGTTGGGATGGGTCAAGTGGTAGATGTACAAGGAAATGCAATTACATAAAGAAAACATAGAGAAGACTCTTGGGGCAGCATGAATACTACTTTAAGAACATACTTTGCTGCTCTAACCCTTTACAAAGTTTCCACTTGTGCTAGCAAGTGTTCCTGAATTACCCCATCTCCTTGCCTTTCTCAAGCATCTGCAGTCAAGCCTACCTAATGCACACCAGGAAGAAAAAAAATCACTTGAACTTGGGACGCCACTGTCTCATGCCATTCTCTCTACCTATTCCAAGTTTTGCCTAAGCAAAGAGAACAAGATTAAGTAGGATTTAAAGTTATATTTTTAGATTTAGCATCTATTATTTACTTAGCATTTAGCATAATTTTTTATTTAGTGGTTATCAGAATACCTATCGAACAAATAAAAACTCTGTTAATTTTAAAGTTAGAAAATGCTGGAATTTTAAGCAGTTGAAGTTAACTCAGTTCTCTCTTGCATTTTCTTTAAAAGGCAATCCTTCATTTTCTGATCACATATTTTTTCATAGGATAACAAAGTAATTCATTTCACAGGGCAGACAGTAATCACTGCATAAGCAACTAATGATTTTCTTCTGTTTTCCTCATTATCCCATTAGTGGCCCTGTCTGTTACTCACTGCACTTTTCTCAAACTGTACTCTCAGGATATAACTGCTAATTCACTAACACATTTGTCACTACACTTGCATCTGAGTGTTTCCCGATTAATTTATCTTGGTTATAAAGGAATTAATTAATTTTCATCTGCAATTGTACATTGAAGTAAGTCAGAGTTGGTATTATTCCAATTTTAAAGCCAGAAAACTTAAGCATATAATTTTGATTGCTCAGTTTGAGACTTGCAGGACTCTCAGAGTTCTTCGCTTCGTAGAGAACTGTGTATGTTCAAAGCCAAGTACCCATTGAATTTGCTTGGAGCTGTGGGGATTCAGCAAGTTCTACATGATGAGCAATTGACCCTTTGTGTAAAGGGTTGAACTTTACAGAAAAAGCAGGAGAGTCCAGTGTTCCAGACAGCCATAGGACTATCCTTTCTCTTCCCTCAAAACTCTGATCAGCCCCAGCTTCCACTTGGTCCATTCATTCTGTCCTGTTTTCCTTCATCATTTTTTATACATTTCTTCCTGTCTCAAGTTCCTTGTCAAATCAGCCCATCTCCTGCCTCCACCACATTTATAGTTTTATTGTCCTCTATCTCTTTATCACAGAGAGAGAAATAAAGCCTCTTTGCATTTCTCACATATATCCGAAAGCAGGGAAGTAGGAGTCCTATGGATGGCAGCATCCTTTATACAGCTCTCATTTATGCTCTTGTTCTCTGCCTAGGATGGAAGATGTGATCATGTAAATGTTAATGCGTATGCACAAAGCAGCTCAACCAAAGCTACATAAGCAATTTTTATTTTGGAATTTTTAAACTGTGAAGTACTTCATTTACATCTGTTATCTTTCTGTGTGTGAGGTTTGGGGGTATAATTTCCTTGCTTTTAAAAAGAGCAAGCTGAAAAGAAGTAGAAATTCGGTCATGTAGGATTCTAGTGGCTGCCAGGCCACCAGCCACCCTGGGAACTTTTGCTATCCACTATATAGGTCACCTGAGCTACTGTGGTAGCAAACAGCAGTAAAAGGTAGAGTGCTCTGCATGGGCTGGCACCAAGAGGAGGTGGGGAACGTTGCTGCTGTGTTTCATAAAAATTTGCTGACAGAGGAAGAGTAGTGAGAGTCAGTAACTTTGGCTCCTGCCCCAGGCTGTAGCGAGAAATGTGTACACATCTTTTGCTTGTATCCTAAACTGAGATCCCTTCTGTCCTGTCCCGACCAATCTGTATTGTTCCCATGACTTCTTCATCTTCTATTCCATGTTCTGGTTTTCAATTTAGTTGTTTCTAGTTATCCATAAAGATTTCAACCTTTGTAAAATGTTGGGCAAATTCTTTTTTAATGTGTGGGGTACAGACAACGGTTAATAATGTGGTAGAAGAATTGATAGAGCATCTTAGGGATTGTATTTCTGGACTACATAGTTTGGAAAGATTTCATACTTCTATGGGTTTGCCATCCTTAGCTTACTCAGCAAATACCACGTATGTGCTGCTAAAGCCTTTGTATCCCATCTTTCCAATCCATGGTCTCCTTGCATGTTTGTACAACACACACAAGTTATGTATAATGCACCTTCATAACCGGAATTTTGCTAACACACTGGTTCTTTTTAAGCCCCAGCTAAAATGAAAACCAGCAGACATTGCAAATAATATTCATGAATAGTATCAGTCAGATAATACCTAATCAGAATAATATGATTATCTGGAAAGGTTAGTTTTGATAGTTGTAACTCCATAAATTCCATCACTCACATGTCCTGGCTCCCAGAATAATAATGTTGCAGCTTTCAATTGAATTGTTCCAGGGACGGCCTAATTCCTCCTTACCACCCATGCTTCTCTTCTGTAAGGCTTCTTGCCCAAGTTTACCCTGCAGATTGTACAATTCTCCACTTTCACCCAAAGCCCAAGTAGAAACGTGAGCCTTTATGCATAGTTTATCGGCAGACCAAAGCAGTTACACAGCTTGGTCAATGATCTCCACCTAACAGGAGAATTCTTTCAGCTTTAATTATCAGTTACTGCTGCTGGCAAAAAAAAAGAAAAAAAAAAAAAGAGGTCAGCAACTTTAAGGGTCTCTGAAGAAATTAATATCTGGCAAGAATCCAAACTCTTCCAGCATTAAGATTTGGGTTATAGTACTTGTGAAAAGCAACTAATTTTTAAAGGACCTAGGGAAACTATATTGATGAGTAAACTTAACTATGATGGGAAAACAATTAACAGCCCACCCAGTGACAGCTACCAATATTAAAATATTCCTAAATTAAATCCAGTTTAATCTTAGCCAGGGGCTTTCCCTTATTTACTCCTTATCACAGGAGGATTTTCTAACAGTAACAGTTACTTCAAAACTATAATTCCATTGTAGAATTATGCATAATATAAAAAACCAACATTTTGAAGCACTTTTAATCTCATTCAAAATAAAATAATAATAAAAAAACCCTAAAATTAATTATTGCTTTTAAAAGGACACATTTTGATCATCTGTAAATCAGTCCCAGCACAAATGCAGCGTACTGACTCAGGACATTTCTACTTGGTGGGGCAGTAGAGGGCAGTCCTGTTGACAGCCTGGGTTCTCTGGAGCCAAAGAACCTGGGTACCAGAGACTCCCAGGAAATAACAGTTTTAGTTCTACTTGGTGCTACTTGGATGTAAAAGTAATCATATATATGTTTTCAGAGGCCATTGGTAACTAAAATTAGCTCAGTCTACCATGGAACTATCAAATTGTCAGTACTTACCCTTGTTCCTTATGTCAGTTTTCAGCTAGAAAATCCCACTAGTGCTTATATTAAAGAATCTGAACCTTGGAAAGATTTGTAGTTCAACCAGGTGCCTACAAGTTTGGATACTTCCCTGATGCTGTTGTATGCCCAGTCCTTCACCCCCAAAGCACCTGTGTCTATGTGTAGATTTTGCATGTTACTGTTTTCTGTGGTGGACATCTTTTGGTATTCCTTTATGGAACTTACAGGGAGGAGTACAGTCTCATTTCCTTCTCTACAGTGAAGCCTTAGAGGTTTTTTTTTTCCACATCTTTTCTTAACTCTAAGTCAGGAGCTCAGTCTATTTTTGCACATTCTCCACAATGAAGTAAGTTAGAATTTCTGTGCCTTCTTCTTCTTTCCATGTCACTCTGCCCTGATTTCCACATTCTTGGTGGCCATCTTCTACTCCTTCTCTTATCATTTACCCTCAGCTCCCTATTCCCAGATGTGTCATCCTTGTAGTGTCTTCCATTCAGTTCAGATGGAACGGGGACCTTCTCTGAAGGCCAGCTTCTAGAAAGAACAACTCCATGCAGTCGTGTGTTTTTCTACATAGAATATCCTTAACTCATACTTCTAGGGAAACTCTGCCATATTAGGATAATCTCTAAGGTTTACTTTTTATTCATATAATTTTACTGCAACGTGTTCAGAAAGATGTAGCAACTGGGTAGAAAGCGTAACCTCCCAGAAATGGAGAAGCTTGTGTTGTATTTATTCTGATGAATATATAAAATAAAATATTACTGGAAAAAAATAATATTTTCTTCCACATTTTAGTGATCTTGCAAAAAATAGGCCTTCTCCAAATGCAAAATTAAAATGTAGAAACAAAAATTAATAGGATATGTTAGTAAAACACCACAGAAACCCTCTTTAGCTAGGTAACCAGATTATTCTTGGACATTGATTGGTACCTATACTCATTAAACCTTGATAGGTCTCCCAATACACAGTCACATTTTGTACTCAAACCAGTTATTTCTACGGAGATCTTTTAAGCTGCTGAAGTGATTTCTCCACCTACAGTTTGACACTTGAAGTGTTTCTGATGTTAGGTGCCTGGGTGTACATTTGTTGCTTCATCTGCACAGGAGTATTACCCCTTGCCTTGCCTTGCCTTGCTTTCCCTTCCCTTTTCCTG